AGTTATTGTGAACATAAAATAACCGTCAATATTATTATTTTTGCTTGTGTTACCGGTGTGTGTAGTGGTTACCGGAGCCCATAGACATCTACAACATAAATGCCGCTACCTACCTTGAGATATGAGTTCTAAGGTCTCAGTTTTTACAGTACAACGGCTGTCCCAGCATTCCAACTGAAACATATTACTGCTTCACGGCAGAAATAGGCAGGGTAGTGGTATCTTCCCGTGCGAACTCACAAGAGATCCTACCACCAGTAATTACGCAAATTATAATTTTGCGGGTTTGATTTTTATTAAAAGATGTTATTCCTACACCATGGAAGTCAATCGTGAACATTTGTTAAGTACGTATTTCATTAGAAAAATTAGTACCAGCCTGCGGGATTCGAACACCGATCCATCGCAAGATACAAATGTACCGAACGTCTTATCCTTTAGGCCACAACGACTTATATTTAAATACGGATTGGAATTTATAGGTGTTATCTCTAGTTAGATATTAGGCACGGTTCTCACATGCGACTTAGTTAATAAAATGCAGCGTCATCCATTCTCAAGCCTCGTAGGCCACGACCGATCTCTTGGAATTTACTCTAATCATTAAAAATAAACAATAATTCTCCGAAGTGCGAGGAGCTATTGACTCCGTCAGATGGTAATAAAAGCACTCTGATTTATGATACGTTGCGGTCCTTAAGCTCCTTATGCAGCTGTCGGCGTGTTGTTACAAGGGGCCCTTTGTTAATGATATAATTTTTTTAGAGCAATGTCATAAACAGCCTATATAGTTATTCGTTCAAACCACCAAATCGTTTTATGTTGATTACTAAAGCTTCAGTACCTCGCCTCGGGCGTCTGAAGGTTAAGTAAAGGACGATTCCTTTGGAAAATAAATAAGACAACTTGAATTATTTTCTGTGCTATCTATATATGTATTAATACGTGAAGCAAAAACTTTGTATCCCTTTTTACGGAAATTGCGCGGACGGAGGACTATGTAATTTCCCACACTTATAGAGAATATAGAGAAGGAGTGCAGAGTGCTATTTTTTTTATTGTCCCTTAAAAAACATTAAATCAATATAAAAAAAAAACATTACACACTCTATTCTATTTAACACACACACACACACATATGTATATATGTATACTCTTTGTTTATTGTCAAACTTTTGTTATTGCTCAAATTCTGTGGTCAAATTGAGAATAGATTAATATTGTTTGTCTTTAATATTATTTGTCTATAGTGTATGTAGGCTTGGCGAATTCTGTGATTATAAAAGTATTGATTTTGACAATAGAACCATTATAATGTTCAATCTTATAATTTTAATTAATTATGATCGAATTTCGACTACTGGGCGACCACTAGTCCTTCTAACTGTAACTTTTAATTTCCTTTCGTAATCGACTAATAAGAAGTAAGTAATGTTTAAAACAGCTGGAATTCTAGGCAAGAAATACAATGGCGGCCCTCAGCAGGAAGCCCTGACAATGGCAACCAAATTAAAAGGAACCGTAAGCGCTTGAACTTGAGCCTTGCTAAAATTTATAGCTTTGAGTTTTATTTTTTTGTTTCACTTGCTAATGAGATTCGAATGTTGCTGTCGTATAGTTCGAGATGTCGCGTGAAGATAAAAAAAAATGCCTGGAACAACTTTGTTTCGCGCATTGAGATTGCTTACAGCAAATTAAATAATTTTGTATTTTCTATATTTGAGTCGACTATTATCAAAGGCGGCAATCTGACTTTTGGACAATGATTGGTAAATCAGAAAAACGAATTATTGACTTTGTATTCCATTGGCAGTCACAAAACTCTTCGGAACGACATCTTAGATAAATAACAGGTTAACTATTAACCTTTATTTAATGCAGGTTTTGAACCGTATTCTTTGAAGGAGACGATTNACTTTGTATTCCATTGGCAGTCACAAAACTCTTCGGAACGACATCTTAGATAAATAACAGGTTAACTATTAACCTTTATTTAATGCAGGTTTTGAACCGTATTCTTTGAAGGAGACGATTATATTCAAATAAATCTGTATTGACATATCAATAAATTTTTTTTGTCCAAATGCACAGATTGCCACCTTTGATAATAGACGACTCATTTGCAGTACGTATTTTTGTCGGTCGACGAAGAAGCAATATTCTCTCGTATTGATATTTGCTCGACCAGACGCGAGCAGGTTGTATGTAAGACGGCTTATTGCAGGCTCTCTTGGTGCCATTCAGACGAGTTACCTGATTCGATGTTCTAAATCGTAGCAATAAAGTAGATATTGAAGTGTAGCTTCATCAACGCGGGTGGTCCTTATACAATGTTATCTGAAATTATCCTCGCGGTAAGAATGCAAATTTGCTCGTGTCTTTGTTTCCAATGAACATTACAAAATTGAAAGGTTCAATTCAACATTACAGCTTAATCGTGTTTTAAAATAAAAGTCTATTGCATTTCTATCTTTTTTATTTAATATACTTTTTTTTCTTGCTTAGATGGGTGGATGAGCTAACGGTCCATCTGTTTTTAAATGGTTACTGGAGTCCATAGACATCTACAACGTAATGCCGCCACCCGCCTTGATATACGAGTTCTGATGTCTCAGTTTAAGCTTGCACAACTCATATCTAAGTTTTAATTAATTAATCCCATTTAAGTAAGTAATCAGTGTTTAAAATTATTTTCTAATTTTCTTACATTATTATTTATTTTCAACGCGAAACGTTTAGATTTATGAAAGCATTTCCAATTTGAAGGCTAAGACAGCCCTTGTTGGTACAATACAAATGAGACTTCAAGCTCGTGTCTCAGTCAGTGTCATGTCAAAATTAGGTAACCACTAACACAAGAAGAGCGTCGGCGGCATCCATCCATTGTAAGCATACCCGATCCTGTAGACCGAATGGTAAACAGTCGACGTCGGCCAAAGCACGTCATTACGGATCCTCCCGATCCATTAACGGTGCTTTTAGGCACCACAAGCACCGGTCACCGTCCTCGTCGAACCCGTCGCTTGCGACTAAGGGCTCGACGAGCGAATTAACTCATAGACACAGCCCACTGAGTTTCTCGCGGGATCTTCTCAGTGGGTCGCGTTTCCGATCCAGTGGTAGATTCTGCGAAGCACTGCTCTTGCTAGGGTCAGTGTTAGCAACACTCCGGTTTGAGCCCCGTGAGCTCACCTACACACGTTAGGGTGAAGCTGAAATAGCCTCTCAAGGCCATCAGAACAGATAGGAAAAAATCAATAATAACATTAAAAGATGCCAAATAATAAATGCGATTCAACACAAAACTAATTCGGATAATTCGGTTTTTTTTTAATTCATTAACAGCCATAAAAGAAGCCAAGCGATGAAAATAGATAAAGAACAGTGATGCGGAACGGATGATGCAATTCGAATTAGTGCGGCAAACTAGATCCATAGAATAAAAGGCCTCTCTTGACGAACTGACGTAGCTAAGTACGAACAAAGGGACAATAGTGAAAGAGAAAAGTATTGGAGCGTGGCGATCCAGTGCTTACTTCCGGTAACGTGGGAACGCCTTTTATGGCTGTCAATAATTTATCAGAGGATATCCAATAATCTCCAAGGGCATCCCTTTTTGAAGAGGAAATAGAAATATATTCTTCGATATCGCCGAGACTTCTCGAAACATGATTGTTATTGTTCATAAAAACTTAAACTGTGTAGTTAGTTATTCTGTTGAGGAAAAACGATGTTGTTATCTAAATGCTTTGTGGGATTTCTATTAACAAGAAATATCGATAGAAAACACAAGAGCGAAGCGAATTCCCATTCACCCATCGCTAGATTCCCAAACAATAGTTCATCAAGTGGCAGTGGTCCATCCGACGCGTCATTTCACGCTTCACCGAATGAAGATCTGTTTAACACTTGCATTCCTTTAATTATTTCCAAATGTTATTTCTATACCAACGATATTATAAATTAGGCCATAATAATTTCATACTAGACAAATCCTTTGTGAAAATGAAAATGAAGGATCCATGAAATTTAAAAAAGGTATAGTTTTTTCCAGAATTAGCATTTTTTATTTAAAACTTTTGTATTCAAATCGACAAGAGATGCGTTTAATTATTCAAATTATAAATTCCCTCTTTTCGGTAACATAATTATTATGAACATAATCTATCTCAATATTCTGGTATTCATGATCATTATTATTTTATTTACGTGAATTCAATTAATATGTAAATTGTAAATGAAATTTCATATTTTAAGAACGCCAATTTGTAACTATATTTTCAACTTGGTAAATTCGATTCGTATTTCGATTTTGGGAATGTTTTTACAGGTTTCTTTACTGTATAAACAACACAACCGATGCTATTTTCACATTTTCATGTAAGTAGATTGTTTTTTGGATCGATGGACCGATATGTGTATCAAACAGAACTAACAACTAGGGGTGGTCCTTGCCAAATACAATCCAAGGAACGAAGCTCTTCACGGCTAGGGCAAACGTGATTTATCGGCGAAACTTGCGCCATTACTCATCGTGGCATTCGTTACTTCAATAAAAAGAACGTCTTCCGATAATTTATTGGGAAGTGTATGGATTTTTTATTATACTTACATGTCTATTTTCGAGTGCACTTCGTCGAGTTCCTACGTCATAAATAAAATATTTGATTTACTGTATCCTCGGAGAGCTATTAAAACTTTTCAAACGCGGCGTGTAGAGGTTTAAGGTTGACAGTTTCCGTGATGGATCTCACTTTAAAACAACGCTTATGTTTTTACATCGTAATAGATCTAGTTAAAAAAATTTGGAAGGCAACTATGCCCAACGAAAGATAGTTTCCAAATCGTGAAAAACAAAAAATGTTTTTCCAAAAAATTACGACCGGGTTTGTGTTTTGAGGAAAAAAAAAGTTTCTAAAGCAGTCTTTTAATTATAACAAGTGTTAACTAATATGGAGAATAACACACATTGCTGGTGTTTATTAAACAACATAAATTACCTCGGATCTGTTGTGGAATAGTAGAGCTTTCACGGTGCAAAGTTCAAAGGAATTAGTTTGGGTTTTCACTTTACCAAATTACTCACAGAACTTTATTACGAACTTCAAAACTTCACGCAAATTGAACTTACGCTTAAAAACACAGTAAAGTTTCACAGGTAATAATTATTCACTGACAATTGTTTATTACATTTAATTAGAATTTACGACAAATATAACAACACTTCACAAAAGTTTTTTAAAACACCAATCTTAATTAAAAAAAGTATTTAAATCACTGTGTCCAAAGTGTGGAAGTTTTTCAAGAGTGAGAACGGCACTAAACAATTAGTATAGTTCTAAGGACGCCTAATGATAGGACGACCGAACCGGTTATCGCGATCGACAAACGGCGGAGCTGAGATCACGGAACGTTCGCACGAGGCGACCGCGTGAGGCTCTCTGCCTGCATCGGAGAAGCCCTACGGCGGGCGAGGGGGCTGCCGGCGATAGACGAAAATGGCTTCACAAGTTAATTTTTTTCTCTTTCCTCCTTTAATATTCCGCATATGCCGTGCGCGCCTGACGTTGCACGCGCATGCGTCCCAACCCGAAATGTAGGGGTTGTCATGTAACGCGATGCACCCGCACTTTACATAACTTATTGGGCCGTTTATTGAAGCCACTGTTTAATACCCTTTCCATGTCGGCTTTGTGCGTCGCTTCCTCGACTTTCGTGTGTGGACCGAGAGAATATTAATCCTTGTTTAACATACTTTAATCTAAACGGTCATTAATCTCAATGTAAACATATTAGTGGGAGTTGCACGTGAACTCTAAGTGAATTGTGTAGCTTGATGAATGCTGCTTACGGTTTTGTTGACTCAATTAGCTTTAATTACCTGTTTGTGTCACTAGTTCGTTGACAGTCTTCATTATTTTTCTGCCTACGTATACATGTTTAGATTGTCATTAACTACATAATATTAATGGTGTTTGAATCTGGTATAAACTTGTTAATAAATTAATGTATATTGCNGTGAACTCTAAGTGAATTGTGTAGCTTGATGAATGCTGCTTACGGTTTTGTTGACTCAATTAGCTTTAATTACCTGTTTGTGTCACTAGTTCGTTGACAGTCTTCATTATTTTTCTGCCTACGTATACATGTTTAGATTGTCATTAACTACATAATATTAATGGTGTTTGAATCTGGTATAAACTTGTTAATAAATTAATGTATATTGCTGCTACTGCTTTCATCTGTACAGGCTATTAAAATAAAAATTTGTGAATAATATTTTTGATTTGTCAGTTAAAGGCCTACCGTTTGCTAGGAATAAGATCGCAAGCACGACTTGTTTCCTGACCACACCAAAGTTGCCTTGCTTTAAAAAAACCATTACGTAATTCGGTGAACTCAAAATCTGATTTAAATTTATTTTAATGCCACTTTGATTCAGCCATTAAATTATTTTTAATTAATATATTATATACGAACTTGTTAATGGAAAAATAAAAAAGTTGTGTTGTGTCGTGGGACACCGGATAGGAACGAAGTTCCTTATTATAAAAATATTAATTTTAAGTTCTATTCGAGGTATAAAGAAAATAAAACTGGAGGTTTTGCAACAACCTACGGTCATTCAGTAACGTGCGAACTTATTGTGGTACACTTCATTCACGGTTAGTGTACTGCGCAAACGAACGCTCTAAGATCGTGGTCAATGAATGATAAAAAATATGTTATTTTTTGTACGTTATTACAAAGTGAAGTCGTACACTGTATGCATTACTAATTTGTACGTGATTACAAAGTTAATTCGTACACTGTGTGCATTACTAATAAAAATCTTACGTTACGGACGCTTTTTCCAGGTTAGGGTACCCCTCCGCATCGTGCCAAATTCGTTCCAAAAAAAAAACTCTAAAAATAAATTCAAAGTTGCATTGTAGTCATTTCTTATATTCTTAACTCATTGATTTCAAAATAGCCGCGAAGCGCACATTAAAGCAATCCGGCGTAAACATAAATCGAATCTGAAATTCGCTGATGGAGACTAAGCGAAAACGTACCGGTTAAATTAGCATACGGTTCTCGTGTACTGTCAATCGTTTGACGGCCTTTCCCCACAGCGATGCACTTCGGACTTTTGTGTCTGTCGCGTTCCGTACTGTGAATCACTTTGTGTCGGAATGAAAGCTGAAAGGGTGAAATTGGTGCGTAAACATTCCACTTGCCATTTCTTTGAGAATTTTGAATTGCGTATTTTTGGTGTCGTTTTATTTATATTGGAGGTCCCGCAGTAGTCGAAATTCGACTATAACTAATTGGAATTGTAAGTTTTTACACTATTATGATTGTATTATAAACTTCTAATTTCGCCAAGACTACTATAAATTGGAATTGTAAGTTTGTACACTATTATGATTGTATTATAAACTTCTATAATCACAAATTTCGCCAAGACTACACTATAAAAATATTAAGAAAGACAAACAATATTTAATCTATTTTCAATTTGACAACAGACGTCAAGAACAAAAGTTTGACAATAAATAGCATGCATGCGTGCGTGCGTCAAATACATGGTATGTAATGTTTTCTTTATTGATTTAAAGTATATTTTTTGCATTATTTTCAAAAAATATTAGCATTGTGCACTTCTTCTCTATATTCTCTATAAGTGTGGAAAATTTCATACTCCTCCGTCCGCCCAATTTTCGTAAAAAGGGATACAAAGTTTTTGCTTCACGTATTAATATATATATTTCTTAAGCCTTCAATTTGCAGTCGAAGGCGTGGTTTTGTTCTGTCGAATTTTTATTATTATTAATTTCTTTTACTCTGGGCTTGACCGAACCAGCCTAGCATTTGATGTTAAGTGGTTATCGGAGCCCATAGATATCTCGGTGTGGATTCCGCCGCCTACCTTGAGACATGACTTCGAAGTTTCATTTTTTTTTATTGCTTAGATGGGTGGACGAGCTCACAGCCCACCTGGTGTTAAGTGGTTACTGGAGCCCATAGACATCTACAACGTAGACGCGCCACCCACCTTGAGATACAAGTTCTAAAGTCTCAGTATAATATGTAGTTACAACGGCTGCCCCACTCTTCAAACCGAAACGCATTACTGCTTCACGGCAGAAATAGGCAGGGCGGTGGTACCTATCCGCGTGGACTCACAAGTGGTCCTACCACCAGTAAAATTAGTATTAAAAGGTATTTGTATTTCGGTAACAAAAGTAAAATTTTCGAACACCGGTGCAGCGCTTCAACACGAATGCACCGGACGTCTTATCCTTTAGGCCACGACGACTCCAGCGCCTAGGGGGCGCGCGGGGTATGTGGGACAGGTCAGACTGCGAAACCGCGGGCCCAAGGATGTTTTCAGGGCCCTACCCACTAAACAACTCCCCGGCACTCTTCGCAACAGCGTCCGATCCCCTCCGAGGTCAGAACCCGGATGAGGCAGGGGGTTACCGCGGTCAACACTGCAACCAGACAGCGCAGCTCACGCCAAGGACGCCCGGCTGACGGAGTCTTTGAGGCGAATCGAAGGCTTTGAAACGTCGACCGTCTCGGTACGGCAGCCCGTCAGGCCGCCCAGACAGTGCCGCTGGTGTCCCGAAATACCCTGCTGGACCAGAACCAGCCTGCCAGGCCAGGACGCGATAAACCGCCAACCGGTCGCTCTATTACTCCTCGGCAGCGGCCTCTACCCCCCTCAGGTCGCCCCTTGACCTTCACCGGGGGATTTTGTACTTACCTGTGGTGACTTACGTACGATACGCCCCACCATCCGCAAATATCGAATGGCGGTCAGTGGCAAAATTTTCAGAAAATGCTACGCCCAATCTCCACTAAATCCCTGAGTCGTCTTAACGGGAAGAGATGAGATGCTATTTTAGATGGTGTTCATACAACTATTTTTGTGTCTTTTGAGTTTTTTTAAGTATCTACAGTATAATTGAAATGTATTTACGGCTTCATTTTAATTATGAGAAAGATTCTTTAAAATACTCTTAATTACGAAAATCATATAAAAGCGTCACTTCGTGTAGATAGTTTAACTGAGCATTTAAAAATTAATATTTTTGCCAATTTCCGTGCATTCGATTCCTTGTCTGTATGTGCTAATTTATTTTTAGCATTTTGTTGCTCTGTCAACATTTGCCTCATTTATTATAAATTCTTTGTTATTTAATTTAAAAATATTTTCGAATATATAAAGTTAATGAACGTCGCATAAATAAGTCAAGATTTTCCGACGAGCTTTGATTATAATTTTTCATTGAATTCCGCCGAGTCCGGTACATTTCCAAGAATATAGGGTAATATTAAAATATGGTGACCGACAGCGCAGAACGCTATGAATTTACTTTTCTCAGTAACCGTTAATAAATTTTTAAATTGTTTAATTCAATAATACATTTCAAAGTACTCCTACTGTTTCAATGTTTCAGACGACCATTCAAACTTACAAGTCAATTTATGTTTATTCACGTCGAATTAAAACTTTCCAACTGGGCCAGCGGTGAAAGCTTACTCTGTATTATTTTCTTTCAACTTTTTGTTTATCAATTTCCTCTTTTGTTTACTTAATAAGTATAAATTATATTCTTTCAGCTCGCCGACCTTAATTTATCTCCTCTTGAAAGCACTTGCTAACTCCGCTTGAGCTTGCAAATATAGATTTATAGAACTCGAAGCCGGGATGAGGTTTTAATTATTAAGGATAACGAGTATTGCAAGCTTAAAGGAAAACAAATTTCATCTTTAATTTCCAACGCGCAGATACTTTCAAACTTTTTTTTTTAAATAAAAGGCAGAAAAGTCACGACGCCTTTTTTGCTAGTCACGATGGGTAGATGAGCTTACAGTCCACATGTTGTTAAGCGCATACTCGAACTCATGGCGACCCTGACGTAAATCCTACTGCACCAAGCAAGAGATTAAGCTGTCAATCGCACTACCAAGATCATTCTACAGTTATATACAAGCCTTACCTATATTCAAGAGCATAGAAGCTCTAAAGATACATAATAGGATAGTCAATATTAATCGATATTAATATCATAACTGATCCTCAATTCTTATGACTAGTGTTAATATAATTCTTAAGTCCACAGGCGTAACAACGTGAGCTCCAACGCCTTAAGGCATGACGTAATACATAATGTGAAACACATCAGCTTGTTTTGTTTGGTTGACGTTAACTTAGATCTAACTCCTTCCGTGATCACTTAAGCAGGCAAAACTTAATCCAAACTCTCTATTAGGTTCATTTAATTATGTTTAAGATGAGTAAATATGACTGTGCTCATCAATCGTATCGTGTTTCAAAACTGGACACAAGTAATCGGTTAAGTATTCTCAATGGGTACAGGTTATACAAATAAAAGTGAGTATGTGTTCCGTTTTCGCGTTAAAATATTGAAC